GACAATGTTGCCGGGCTGGGTGACCAGCGTGACGAAGAGGTCGGCCAGGGAGAGATTGACGATGAAGTAGTTGCCGGTGGTGCGCAGGGCCGGCACGATGCACACCGCTCCCATGACCTGCCAACGGAGACGGGCGTTAATTAGCACGGATAGCTGCGACTAACACTTGTTACATGCGGCATGTATGAGCTTTCAACGCGGCTGCAATAACGTGTAATCAGTCTCCTGACCTCACCGCGTACTGCGCCCGTTTACTCGTCGCATCTACGCCGGAAGTGCAGGGCTTCATGCCAGCTTAACTCCAGTTGGGAAGAACAGGAAGCCCTTTACTTACACTGTTTACGCAAACAAAACCACGCGCTGCTTTAAGCGGCGGCGTGCAGGTACGTTTTTCTTGTAACGGAAGTGACCTTTGTATATGGTACCCACTTCGTGTCTTAACATGCACGAAAGCTTTCCCATTCCCAAACACATTTTTGCTCTGTTTTATGACATTATGTAGCGGGGTGTTTTGTATATACATTGGCGGGAAAACCGTTTGTGCGCATGCGCGCAACACGCACTGGTTGGCGGAGTTTTGGCTGTAAGAAAATTCCAACAAGTTTAAATGCGTGCAAGTGTTGTCGTGAACCGCTTCTCCCAAATTGTGCACAAAACCGCACATTATCATGAAGATCAGTTTTAAACTGAACTAGGGTTGCATTATTTTTTTCAAAATTATAACAAGCTGCTTAAAAAATAAACGAGTGGGAATTTTTAAAAAATCTTTGGAGACAACGTGAAGCGGCAGTCTATTCTACTACATCGAGCGGTGGCAGTTGGTGTGAACGCCGGAAGTATTTGCATAATTAACCTCTTGGGCATTTGTATACAATTATTACGTTTATTTAACGTTCAGTAGTGCAGCAACACCATGTAGCACAGACTCACAGTGCAAAAGAACGGAAGATGTTTGTAAATATTGTGCGGAAGAGTTCAGTAGGCAGGCGTTGACATTTGACAAGAAAGCCAGGGCTTTTAATTAAAGTATAAGGTATACAGGTCAGGTTTCTGTCGGACATGCAGTACGGTAACACCGGTTTTTAATTAGAGAGATAATATTTCCATAATATAAATAAATATTATCCGTTTCAGCCTACAGTCGTTGGTTTCGCTGGGCGACTGTAAGGAAATGTCAGCGTAATACGGTGGGAAAACCCGACAGCGACAACACCGGAAGTGCTGCTGACATTAGCCCGCGACTAATCGACCTGGCCGCGAGGTAAGATCGGCGTCCAGGCCGAGCAGACAGCGGATGTCCGGGCAGGAAAATTCTCCTGACCTTTCATTCGTAAATTATGACCTCATTCTTACGCCGCGTATGGGATAAACCGGCGTGGAAAAGACCGGCTCGAGTTACTGCTCAAACGAATATGCGTAGAATACAAAAGAAACCACGGTGACCTTTGTGCGATGTAACTCGATCCGATGATAAAGCATTACGCGAGACGAATAGGCAATAAAAAGCCTGCATATATTGGCATTTGGCATGGAAATAAAATAAGCGTTGAGCGATTAACGACGGGCAGCGGAATTTAAAAAAAAACACAAATAACTACAACTACAGTATAATAATAGTGTAAAAATAAAAAATAACAAAGCTGCGAGTACTATAAACATACTGCAGCGATAAAAATAATACTAAAACCACTATAAAAAATAAATGCGTTTATTAAAGAGAAAATGTAAGAAAAATTAACTATGCATGTAAAAAAATACAGCAAATTATGCAAAAAAATTAGAAAAAGTGTAAAGATTGTCCAACAATTTTTCCAATAACAACAACTAACAGCGGTATAATTTGGCACTGACCAGAATATTGCCGATGGTGCCGAAGACGCTCTGGAAAGCCAGACAGATGACGTAGAAGGTCTGCAACGGCTTATTCCCGTCCAGCGGATTGCGGTGCATCAAATCGCTGCGATGGACATGTCCGGCGTCGGCGCCGCTGCCCGAGCCGTTGCTCCAGTTGAACAGCGCCACCACATTCGTGTCCAACACGTCCAACATATTCGCAAAGTACCGGCCAACGTTAACGCGCCGGCCGACCGAACTATAAAGGTGAAAGCGGCCGGTGAAAAAAATGCCTCGCGGGTGCACTTGCCGGGTTAAAACGCCGCTGCCAACAACACGGGAAATGGATGCGCCATGAAGGGGCTTTGACAAGATCGCGGTATCGGATACCAGCGCTGCCGGCGCTTTAAATGGGCACACTGATGGGAAGAGATCGAGGCGTGTACGCTTAAGCCGGCACCAGGAATCGGCGCTGTATAAATCCGTACAGATGTCGGACAATCTTCTCCTGATTAAACCGTACCTCACTGTGTAGTACACGCGCCCCGAAAATTAGCACGGCACGTGATGCTTAGATTGCGGAGTTTTTGCACCGGAAACACCTGCTTGTCGATCCGGCTGCTAACTATTTAAAAAAATAGGAAGCGGCCGAGCGCGATATGTGATAATGCCGGTTTGCGTGATACCGACGACAATTCGGCGTATCACGACATTACTGTTTTTAGCTGTCTGTATATTCCTAAATAATTCCAATTGTGTTAAGGAAATTACCTCACGACGCCCGCTTTATGCCGGCAGTGAAATTCTCCGCGAAAGGAGCAAAAGGCTGTCTGGACATTTTATATATAAATAGACTAATCAGCTATAATGCAATTTGCTCGATAACGCAGTATTATTTACGAAATCCCTGGTACTGCGAGGAACGACGTTCACCGGTCGTCGGTCAATAATATAATTCAGTAAATATTCATCAGTGCTGACGCATGGCCACCCAATATCAAACAATGTTATAAAATGAAATGATAATTATTGTGCTGTGTATTTCAGTTTTTTCTGATTCGCGGCGGTTAATACAGATAACGGTCTTGCAATTGTATACTGAAACCTGCATTTATCTGCACCATAAAGTTCCTATGTTTTTATTATAATTTTAATTCGCGATAAGCTGATTCTATCTGTATTGCAGTATTTTTTGTTGTAATTTATTGTATTTGTTATGCTTGCTTATATCATATTTTTTGCAGTTTTTTAATGACGATTAAAAGATTTTTATTTTTATGGTGATTTTTATAGATTTTTTTTAAGTTCGTGTCATGGTAGTTTTATTTACATCGCTATTTATAACGTTCCATGTACAACGTAAATACATCTGTGTACCAATTTCTACAGTACATGCCGTTTCGCTTCTAACTGGTTGTTGCATATACGCCGTTTATGACATTGGCGTTGTTTTATGTTTGCCAACTTGTCCGTCCATGTTAAAACGGAGAAATCGTCATCCGTTTTTGATAGAGAAATCAGTCGATCGTGGCTGGAATTTTGTGGGCATTTGCTAATAAGAACTTGCGTTATGGAGAGCTCTCGTGTCTTCTTGTACAGATATATATAGATATAGCGAAAACATAAGTGCGTGGGCGGTGTGCCTACCGGAAATCACAAATATCTGGGCAACAACATCATTTACGTCTTATTCGTGCACGTAGTTGGATAGATCATAGATGGTAAAGAGTTTCTAGTGATGTGTGGATTAGGAATAAGAAATATGTACATCAGGTGATGTGAGACACCCAATTTAGATCCAACCAGGTTGATATGCGAAACCCTGCACGGCTTATCGTGGTTGTTGCGGGTTTGGAAGCCGATGCAGTGCCAAATCCAGAGATATTATTGTATTTTTGCCGCTCTTTTCCGTCATTTACGCCTGAATAATAGTGGAGCAGCACGTGGAATATACTGCTGCATACGTTTCTTCAACAGCATTATATAATCGTGTGTTGTTTTAATATCTTCAAGTTTTCTTAATATTCGAGCAGTGATTACTGTTAAATAAGCATGTTATTTACATTTTGGTAATTTTGGTAATATCAACGCATAACAAATTGCACTACAACACCGCCATTTTATATTAACAAGTAACAACACTGGCCAATTATTTATTTAATAAGTACTGTGCATCGTTTTGGTATAGTTGCCCATAGATTCTTGTATTCGGCGTATTCCTCACTGTTATCGAGCGCTTTATAAGACAAAATAAAAAAAACTGCGAAGTGGACATTAAAATTTAATCATGACATTATTTTGTGTGCTGTACATACGTACTACTCGTATAAAACGTGTAGAACAGGCACGCTGCAAACATTTTACGTACAACGGTACATATTTGCAAAAGTACATAACAACATATAACATATTTTATATCCCAAGTGCACGTATATAATATTGATTTGTTAATCGTTTTTACTGAAAGCATCTGTTGCCGACAAAAACCACATGACCACGCCCTCCGCAATCTGTCCGGTCCGGAACTGTCAAGGCCAGAAAGTACTGTAAAGCAGACGCAGCACAAAACTGTGGAAACTAACTGTACACACCAACTGCATCAACTTATTAATTTTACAACAGCTGTTCAGCACTGGCGATTTTATCAATGAGCGGCAGCGGCCAGAAAAAAAGCACAACATTTCGCGGTAGAGCGGAATGCGTGCCGCAGCTCCACTCACTCAACGCCCGACACAGTAGCACACAAACTGCATTACATGTGCAGCGGAAACAACCGCGCGATAAAACTTTCAACCAGCTGATACACCGTATGAGACATGAGACACAAGTTATTCCGCTGGCACGCCGCATATATGGTCAAAGTACACTACACACCATCATACACAATCACATGGCTTCTTTTTTTCTTGCGCATTGCTTCAAGAACTCTTGCAAAAAAATTGTCTATTTGATCGAAGCGCGATTGCTAGCGGGTTGATTATTATTACGGAAACTTCCTCTGATTAAAATTCTAATGGGTTCTTATGTAATCTTGTGCTTTCTTATGTTTTCTTATGTTTTCTTATGTTTTCTTATAATTTCTGCGACATATATGCCATTTTTTACATATACGACGGAATAATAAATTTGATTTTTGTTGCTATTATTATTATTATTATTATTAGAAGATGGTGGATTTACGCGCGTACCGCGTGCACATCATCGTGGGCTGCCAGAGCAGTCCGCCCTCGGTGGCGCTCCCGGAATGCACGCGCCTCGTGCACGAACTAAGCAAGGAGACGCGGATCGAGCTGCTCAAGGGCGTTTTACAACGGCTGGGCTGTCAGCGCGTCTTCGTGCACCGCGTCACGCTGGCCGACTACCGGCCGGTGCTGGACGGGATCCAGGGCGTCGGGACGCCCGCCGGAAGTTCCCGGCGACGTGGAGCCGTTGATTGTGTGCAATTTTGTCGATGGGACGGAAGCCGACGGGTACCCCGGCATCAGCGTGACGCGGGAGCTGGAGCGCCGGCGTCTGCCGTTCACCGGCGGGGATTCGCGGTTCTGCCGGGTGGCCAGCAGTAAGACGGCGCAGAAGGCCGTCTTCCGGGTAAGGAACAATATAAGAAAGCATAAGAAAACATAAGAAAACAGAAGAAAACGAAGCAAGGCGCAGCGGATCAGCGGCGCGTGATTTTTCGCTAATTGTCCTTATATGAATCACCGGCTGGATAAGTCAGTTTCCACGGGAAAATTAATTTCGCCGGATAGGGATGTATTTACTGGGATAATAAGGATTTTGAAATATTATTAGAGATTTATTTCTACCTTGTTAAAGCCGATTAAATTTGCTCGAAATTATTTTGGTAGGCAGTATCCATCCACATCAGTAAAACCATTAATGCGGACATACTTCTGAAAAACTGCTCGAAATTAATAGCGCTCAAGGGAAACGCCGCACAGCAATCCCGGATTAAATTGGTTCATTCGAATTATTTCGCGGAATTTAAATATCAACAATCAAAAAGATGAATCAGCAATTTTTATTCATAAGTAATGCGGCAAGAAAATTATTGCTCATGTGCTGTATCCATTGGCGGAACTGGATACAACCAGCATGTGCATAAATTAACCGGCATTTTTTCAGTAAATTTTCGACAACGTATTCATCGCGCATTCGATAAACTTGACCAATATTTTATAATGCATGTGTACTCGTTAATATAGTACATAATTTTCATTTACAACTAACCGGCATTTTGTAATAACTTCATCTTTACCACTCAGTTAAGTATGTACATAAATTTATGTGATTACCCGGCAGTGTGTTTATTTAATACTGCAAAAATCACAAATTCTTTTGCTTGGTGACCAGTATTTCGAAAACACATGCAAAGTTTGGAAATTATGCGTTGAAATGCTGTGAGTGTACTGTGTACAGTCCCTTCCCATGTTAAATTGGGACAACTGGGACTGGGACAAATTCTTCATCTGATTGTATATATTGAGTGGTGCTCGTTGATGTGCATATTGAAAAATAAATAAAACCGGCATTTTTTCAATGATCAATGTACAAATAATGTAAATGAGCCAGCATTTTCAGTTGTAATAAAACCCAATCTTTTATATACAGTACCTGTATTTTCAGCGGCATAATTAAACTGATTTACGAGTATAAACCGACATTTTTGAAGCAGTTATAAAATAACCGGCACTTCTTTAATACTGCTTAAATTAATCGGTATTTTTATTGTACCTATATAATTATTAAAATAATATATTGTTAAATACCGGCATTTTGTACGTACGTGCATTCGCCGGCATTCTTGTCGTATAATTATAACCTTTATACTTGTACACTATTAACCAGCATTTGCTAGGCTTAATTAACACGGCGAGGGCTTTACAGAAGAACGGCGTGGCGACCTCCGAGTACCAGGAGATCGAGCCGCTGCAGTTGTCCACGGACATGGACACGGCCATAACCTCGGTGGGCTTCCCCATGATCGTCAAGCCCATCGTCTCCTACGGCAGCCTGGGCATCTCCAAGGCCTCCGTCGTCCACGACAAGCAGGAGGCCTGCTCGCAGGTCCGCGCCCTCTTCCACTCCTCCCACGTCAACCGCGTCAACCAGGACGGCGGCGTCTACGTCGAGCGCTTCCTCAACGGCCCCGAGTACGTCGCCTTCCTCACCGGCGACGCGACGGTGGGGCTCAAGTGCTACCCGGTGGTGCAGCGCCTCTTCCACGGGGCGGCGTCCCGCGAGGAGCAGCTCCTGGCCTTCGACGCCTACTGGGAGGACCTCCGCCACGGCGAGGACCACCGCGACGACGCCGGCAAGGAGATCTTCATCAGTTACGCGCTGGTGGAGGACGCGGCGCTGCAGGGCCGCCTGCAGGAGCTGGCCAAGAAGGCCTACGCGGTGCTGGGCGGCAACGGGTACGCCAAGATCGACATCCGCGCCGACGACGACCAGAACAGCAACCTCTACGTCCTGGAGGTCAACGTCAACGCCATCCTGTCGCTGGAGTCGCGGATGGCCGTCGGCCAGGTGAGTCCCGTCCCGAACCTTTGTGGCGTCCACTTCCGAGATCGTTTTTACAGATTCTGGAGGTGGCCGCCATCGATCCCCGCGTCCTGGTGGAGGACATCATTTCCTACGCAGTGCAGCGGCAGTACAATCTCGACCACCCCGCCGACGAGGCGGACGATGACCCCGGAAGTCCCGGATCGCCGGTCACCGTCCAGGCGGGAGAGTGACCTTTTCTCCATGCTAAATAAATCCATTTATTACTTTTTGATATTTTTTGCGCGCTGTGTCTTTCTGCTCAATACTCTTTTTTATTACCGGCATCACTGAACATAAGAGCAAAAGTCGAATTTTAAATAAATTTTGCAGCCGCTATTTTAACCAGGGTCTCGCGTGCGCCGCATTTACCGGTTGTAGCGGGAAACTGCCATCGTGTGGCGCGGAATACATTAATATTTAAGCGCAGTACAATTACAGCTGTGGGATCGTAGCGGCTGCTGTTGGGGAAGACCGCAGCGGAAGCGGCTTATTGATTGATTTGAGGCCTGCGCCGGGCGTCTAAGGCGGTTGAACTAACTTTTTCTTAATAAAGAACAAAATTACTGTCAGTAAACCGCTGTTGATGTGAGTACAAGTGCTTACTTTATGCGCGTATTCGCAGCAGCAGTACACAATTTGTTACATAAAGGAATGACAACATTTCCGGTCAAATTTTCAGATCACGCTAGCGTCCACGTGCACGTGATATAACTGTCGCTACATACGGTAGAAAACCGCGAATACCAAGTGAAGTCGACAAACATTCAAGTGGTAGACTGTACAACCGATGACCATTCGCTATACGACATGTTATGTCATCTAGATACAAGTAATATACAATACAACAATAATTATATTAATTTTTATTCAGTCATCGTGATACAGTAATAGGTATTAAAGTATGCAGTATTATCATAATAATATAGTGTAATTATAACGAATTGTGCAATGTGGCGTGACTGGCGTACAAGCTTGTGATTTGCCCCGTAATTCCTATCGTAAACTATGTACAGAGATATTGAATCACGTATTATCACTGTGCAGTATGCGGCTGCGCAGCCGCTTTTGGAACGTAATACTCGCATGATGGTGTGTAATACGCAGACCAGGAAGAAGCGCTCATCTAGTAAGCCGGCTTTCGGTCGGTTGCGAAGTTATCCTGTCCGCTGTTCCGCATGCTTAAGGGATTTGGCCCGGTACATGGTAAAGATGGTATCAAATTCGTGTACATGCACGAAAACGTTCATCTTCGCGCCCTCCCAAACCCTTCTTTGCTGTGTATTATCGCATTCTGTAGCCAGACGATTTGTATACCTAGGCGTGAAAACCGTTTGTGCGCGCAACATCCGGTGCGGGAGTTATGGCTGTCAGAATATTCCAAAACATTTAGATGCACTCAGGTGTTTCAAAGGTCTCGTTATCAACCGATCCCCTCTAAAAGTTTACATTTAAATGCACGTATGTATGAAGATCATTTTTACACCGAACCAGGGTTGTACCAATCTTTTTGTCAGAGACCGCTCACTCGAGGCGGTAGACACCTCTTGTGGCTTTGCTCTGTCGCCCGCCCGCACATGGCTACTCCATTCGTGCCGCGCTATTACGCTGCTTACTCAGCGTATACTTTGTCTACGCTGACCAATCAGCGCATTTCTCTGCACTCTTGGGGGTGGAGCCCTGCGCCTACGGGCGATTCCATGCTTTGCAGCATCAGCTGTTGCATACCCGCAGCACGCGGAATCATTATCACGATTCCTGGATAGCGCACTGCAGGCACTTTTTCCACAGCTTTTCCCCCATCGGGTTTTCTGTTGGTTTTGTGTTGTTGTTGTTGCTTTATTGTACCAATAAAGGCGATATTTGCCCCATTTTCCATCTGCTTCTGTGTCATATCTGACATTTTCAAAATTTAAAATAAATTTCAAAAGTTTAAAATTCATTTTAAAATTTAAAAGAAAATGCTGGAGCCGTGGTTCGGTGTAAAAACGACCTTTATGCATATGTGCGTTAACATGCAAAATTTAAAGCAGATCGGTCCATGATGAGACTTTTGGTACACCTCAAAGCATTTAAACTTTTTGGAATTTGCTTACCGTCACAACTCCCGAGCCGGATGTTGCGCGCACACACAGTTTTTTCGCCAATGTGCACAAATCATATGGTCACAGAATGCACTGATGCATACGGATCTGGATCGCAGATTGACCAAAATAACTTGAAGGTAAATCATCGAATTTGACGGATACACTTGACTGTGAGGCATGCGGCACGGAACCGTCCGGAAAAGAAATATCGCAACATTATTCGCCGTTACCTGTAAACGGAACCACATACGCGCGGATCATCGAACGCGGTTATCCAAAAAACACTAGCGTCGTCATTTGACAGTCGACGTCCTGGGAATGCAATATCCTCATTAGTGGATATTCACCAACAAGAATCTTGCATTCGAAGGACGCCTGCCGACTTGAAATTCGAGGAACCATACATTCGAAGACTGTCATTATTGGCATTTTGCTACCCATTGTTAGCCCCCGTGCTGCAACGTTACTATACACATTATACTATGAATACATACATGATATACACCAGGAAATACATAAGCTTGAATGTGAAATGAAACTTTCATGAGATGAGAACGCCGCTGATGGTCTGCGACTCGGTGCAACTAACTGACCTAATTCCTAAGCATCCGACTTTTAACCATTACCGGAATACACAACGATCTCACATCAGTCACATGCACAGATGTTGAGGATGTACGAGTACGCGCAATTTAGGATAAATATAGGTTCGGCTTGGTAGCATCTACCAAATGCTCTCCGTCTAAGTTGATGCCGTCCCTTGGCATGAAAAGGTTGGAGAAGAGAGCAAGCAAACAAGAATATATTTTTTTTAAATCGACATGAGAAAAACCATCGTATTTCTGTTGAGCAACACGCATGCTTGTATATACAATATGAATGCGGACACAGTATGAAGAACACAGATCAACATAGAATTATGATAGGAAAAAATTCACTTAATATGTGTCCAATGTAATTCCCCTTTGGTATATGAATTAGTTAGTCCAATGTGGATATCTGCAAGCACGTACGTGGTATAAAGATGTTACATTGTTAACCTGTGCAATCTGAAAGCACCGATTCCCGATGCCAGCCTTTGCCAGGGTACCTGACCGGGCAACGTAATAAGCCGCCGACACCAACGAGCACTCTAATTTTGATTTTCGGCTTCCTACCTCGCTTTGGCAGGATTAGCTCCGGTCCCCGGAACATGTATAGTACAAGGTATTGCTTCTGCGGTTCTAAAGATAATTTCGGTCGTTTCCCTTTTTCCTGCACAATTGGTTTCTTCGGTGCATGTTGAAGATAACGGTTAAATATTACCGGCCAAAAAGGTGCTTGTCTCTTGACTCTTGGGAAAACTGGGCATCGCGGCAGACAGTTGGCGTACAGGTAACTTCCACCCGCGCTGGGGGAATCCCCCAAGGAAGCATGACCTTTCACTTGTTTCATACCTGTACGGCTAATGCCGTACTCCTTTGGGACATAGCAGTTTTCAGTGAGCGGTGCATGGTTACTGGGAGCAAACCGATGTACCACATTAAAAGGTACATTACAGTAGCCATTTACATTAAGTAATCGCACAATGATCCAGAATTCTGGGTGGCAAAAGACCTTCTCGGAGGCGCACTTCGTTGGGGTATACGATGCGGTGGGTGTGTATCACTACAACGTCATTCCGCAAACTTCAGCTGTCTTAGCAAGAAGCCGGCGGGCTTCTACACCGATCCGGAGACGCGCTGCCAGGTCTTCCACCGCTGCGCCGTCAACGGCAACCAGACCAGCTATCTCTGCGTCCACAGCACGCTCTTCAACCAGGTGACGCTCGTCTGCTACTACTGCTTCGACGTCGACTGCCAAAAGTAAGACCTGCAACGCTTGTCATCTTCACCTAACAGAATGTACAGAGTATACATACGAGTATGATTCTTGTCTGGGCTTAACTTAATTAATTTGAGCAACACGATTCTAATCGCTGCTGTGGGCATTTCGTTTTAGTACGGGGACAATATATAATTTCGAGGAGAGGGATCTAACTACTGTTGCGCGGACAGCTCTGTGGACCGCTGCCAGTGGCGCGAAGAAAGGAATCAGCCACGCATGGGGTGGTTAGCCACGCAGTTCTGGCTGTAACCGTCTTCTCCAGCGGGATAATTTGTACTAGGCAGATATACTATTCAGACGGTATATCGGTAGCCAACGTGCGATTGGCCTGTTCCTAAACCAAAACGCTCACTGCCGTTTCTGCATCAGTCTTCGGAGTATATGCATCAACAAGGAAGAAAAAAGATCTTCCCCGATTAATTAAAAGCACTGGCAATAAAATGGAAACCTTTAAATAGTTTTGCCGAAAGTGGGAGATTAAAGTCATCTGAGATCGGACAAGAGTACCTAAGTTACATTGTGTTGGAATAAAAAACTGAATTTGTTACAGTCGTGGTAATTAAATTCTGTCACATAAACTTTAAGCTCGTTGAAATCATTTCAGTTCAGCCTCTCTCCACTTTTACCATGACCGATGAAAAAAATTTTTAAGTGTACGCAAGGCTTAATGTGTCTTCCTGCAACCAACAAAATTTTTTGGAGCCGGGAGCCACTCAGAGCCAGTGACTTGGCCATGGTAAGCACTGTGCAAATCGCCGAGAGACAAATTTCAATTCGTCCGTTTTTCACACCGGCTCACTACTTCAAACTGGCAGTTTTTATACTGGTTGACTGCCGCAGCACTGGACCGTAGGTCCAGTGTTGTGGTAGTCAATGAAACTTGGCAGTTTTTATACTGGTTGACTGCCGCAGCACTGGACCGTAGGTCCAGTGTTGTGGTAGTCAATGAAACTGGGTTCTTTATTCACCTGTGGTACATCGTATTGTTACATAATCAAAAAACATCACAATTTTACAACATTAAAACTTCGTTTAACTTTTCTGCTCCTTCCATTGTTCCCAAAACTGAGGCCGCGTTCCCCCGCTGTATCGCCAACGACAGTCGTTGACGTAGAAATTCATGAGAACGCTTCTCTCCTGTCTGCTGTTCTAGTCGTTTGCCCAGTTCTTTGATAATGGCGATGGCGGTCGGTCCCCAAGGGCCCATTGTTTCAAAAGCTATCGGAGCAAAGATATATCTGCCGAACAAGTACGCATACAGCTGCGCCTTTCTTTCTTCCGCTTCCAACGCAGCTGCGCCTGCGTTTGCCGCCGTAGATTTAATGTGGGAAGGCGCAACAGTATCCACGCAAGTGACATCCCACGCTAAACACATCCCTCTCTGCCAGGCAAAGGTTGTGCAGCCGTCAGGGCGTCGTTCGGAAGTATGTGACGTTCCGCGGGGCTCTAACTTCGCAGGGATTCCAGCTGACACTAAAGAGCGGCACACGATGCTGTTCAATTCGCCATGTCGCGGGTGTCTACCTGCGGAAAATGCACACGAAAGGCCGTGGTGTCCGTACTTATCAACGTGCTTATGACACTTCAATGAAACTTGGCAGTTTTTATACTGGTTGACTGCCGCAGCACTGGACCGTAGGTCCAGTGTTGTGGTAGTCAAT